GCAACCCAGAGAAGACAAGTAGTGACTCTACAGCATCTTACTGTGCTGATGGACAGTGACTGTGAAGGGGTATGTGGGGGGGACTTGGTGAAGGAGGGAGCCTAGTAAACATAATGCCTTTCATGTAATTGTAGATTAATGATACCAAAATTAAAAAAAAAAAGACGTATGCACCTCTATGTTTACTGCAGCAGTATTTACAATAGCTAAGATATAGAAGCAACCTAAGTGTCCATCAGTAGATGAATGGATAAGGAAGATGTGGTACATATACACAATGGAATACTACTCAGCCTTCAGAAAGAAACAAATCCTACCATTTGCAACAACATGGATGGAGCTGGAGGGTATTATGCTCAGTGAAATAAGCCAGGCGGAGAAAGACAACTACCAAATGATTTCACTCATTTGTGGAGCGTAAGAACAAAACAAAACTGAAGGAACAAAACAGCAACAGACTCACAGACGCCAAGAAGAGATTAGCGGTTACCAAAGGGGAGGGGGTGGGGGAGGGCGGGTGGTGGGAGGGAGAAGGGGATTCAGGGGTATTATGATTGGCACACATGGTGTGGCAGGGGAACGGGGGAGACAGTGTAGCACGAGAAGGCAAATAGTGGCTCTGTGGCATCTCACGATAGGCAGTGACTGCAATGGAGTGTGGGGGCCACAATAACAGGGGTGAATGTAGTGACCATATTGTTTTTGTATGTGAAACCTTCATAAGAGTGTATATCAATAACACCTTTATAAAATAAAGAAAAGAAAAGAAAAAAAGGGAAAGCTGAGCCTGCGAGGTAACAAACTTGTGGGGATAGATGCCCCCCTTTATAAGGCTTCTGAGTAGGAGTTACCCTCCAGTTCACCCGCAGACACATGTGCGTACACACGTACATGAGATTGTCCTCGAGCGGCGTACTGTAGCTCGACCCTCCCGGGAGTTTTCCTGACCTGCGCTCTGAAGTCCAGCCGCCCTGGTGTTGGCCTGTGGAAGATGTCCTCCGCCGCCAGCACACGGAGGCGGTGTCTCCCATCAGAATGGGCCGGCACGGTGGGCTCTGAGGTGTCAGGCACCCTGAGTTCACAGGCCCATCACATTATCCACCTTTGACACCCCCACACACAGAGTTCCTTCCTTACGTTGAAAAGATTGATGTGTAACAGTCTGCCCTAAACTGTTAAGAAGAAGCAGTGAGACTCAGCATGAAAATAAACCCTATTCAAGGGACCAGCTAGGTGGAACATTATTAATGGGAAATGTAGTAGAAAGGAAGCCTCCGCCTGTTCCA